CCTCCACCTCCTCCTCCTCCCGCTAAAGCCAGGGTGGTCAGGCTGGGTTTAATCCTTCCCCGCCCCAGATGGGCCGCACTGAAGGTATTTATGAGCCTGGAGCTCGCAGGGGATTATGTGTGGGGAGGACGGATTTTGCGGCCCCCTGGGTGGGACTTGCAGCTCTGGGGGCTGTTCCCAAACCTCAGGGTTGGAGCTGCCCCACTCACACTCCCTGTTCCCCCCCAGGAAAATGGTGGAGAGTCGCGGTCCAACTCAGTGTCTGAGAGCCCGTCCAGCCCTGTGCCGCTGGCAGTGTCCCCTGAATCTGGCGAGACCCAGAGCGAGGTAGGGCTGGGGATGCCAGAGGGAGGCAGTGGCTGGAGAGCGGGACCTGAGTTAAGCCCCCGCTATGGGGCTGCTGCAGGGAGCACAGCGGGTCTGACGCAGTCTCTCATCCCCCAGTCCGACACGCAGGAGGGTGACAAACGCCATTCAGCAACCGGCTCCCTCCTGGACCTCGATATCCCATTGGCGGTGGCCAAGGAACGGGCGCACCAGAAGCGCACCAGCAAGCGGGCACCCCAGATGGACTGGAGCAAGAAAAACGAACTGTTCAGCAACCTGTGAAGGCCCTGGGATGGGGACGAGGGGGGTGAGGGTCCACCAGTCCCCCTGGCCTTGCACCCACCTCTCCTGCATCCCCCTCCTCCCCGCCACAGACTCCCGGAAGGGCTGCAGGGCTGCTCCCCCCAACCCAACCGAAGGAAATGGGGCTCAGTGACCAGTGAGCATCCCCACAGCAGGGTCCTGGGTGGTGATTTTAGGCTGGAGAGAGCTCAGGGGCTGCCTCCTCCCGTGAGCCCATCCCTGGGGGGCTCCTCCAGGCCTGCCTTCAAGGTCCTGCACACTCCCATAGGCACAAGGAGGGGTTCAGGGGAGATCAGGGATTAGGGGTGGCCTGATGCCCAACACTTCTGATCCCTGCTGTTCCCTGGTTCTTCCCCCCCATACCCCATCTCCATTTGAGCCTCCCACCCACCCAAATTGCCCTTTAACTGCAAAACCTGAGGCTTTTTTAGTGACTTTTAGCAAATTCCACCTACCTGCCCACCGACCACAGCCATTTCTCCCTGGGGGTTTGACCCCCACCTGCAAAGCTCCGTCCACGATGACCCTGTCCCTTCATCCCCTGGGTGCAAGGAGGGACACAGGTGCCTGCCACAGCGGGGAGCCCCCAGCACCCTGCTCCCAGGGCTATTTTGGGAGAGGAGAGGGTGTCTGGAGTCAGCACAGCAAGCAATAATCATCTCCTTTGCTCCTGCTCACTCCTGGAGACAGAGCTGATCAGGGTTTCAATCCAACACTGTTTAATTTAAAGGCTTCTCAATAGACTGTTTTTTTCCAAAATAAGAGTTTTCCAATCACACTGTTTATTTTTTTTAATGTATTTTGTGGAAATTCTTCCTGTGGATGTTTTGTTTCCATGTGTTGTGATCGGGTGGTGTTGTATTGTCAAGCTCAAGAGAAATTCAGTTTACTGGAATAAACCTTCCTGACTTTACCTGTCTGGTTTAAGGCTAAATCCTTCCGCAGGCCAAGAATATGTGTGTGTGGGGGGTGCTTGTCAGGGGCTTGTCATGCTGCAGATAATGCTCGTGGTGATGGGGGACACTGGGGCTGGTTTGGGTGCCCCCTTCAGCACCCATTGGAGCCAGGCTGAGGGGGTTGGGGAGGGACCAGCTGCTCCCAGTGCAGGTTAATGCCTTGGGATGATTAAAGGGCTCTAATCCCCCCAGGGAGTGCTGGGAGGGTGATGCAGGGCTCTAATCTGTATCTGTTGGCCTGGCTGGAGAGTGCAGCTCTGCTGGGGGGAGCCCAAAAGTGCAGGTCCTTCTGGGGGGATTTGGGGTGAATCCAAGCATGCTGGGGTGGAGGAAGGCAGTGAGCATTGGTGGGTAGAGGGTTGCTTGTACCTCTAAATTGATGGGTCTTAGCCCTGCCAGGGGTGTGAAGCAGAGGAAAACAGGCAGAGAGGTGTTTCAGCATGGAGTTGGTGATGATTCAGTGGTGGGGGCACAACATGGTGGGGCCAGGATGCCCCACCAGGATCCAGCTCAAATGACAGCCAAGGGACACTGCGCCACCAGATCTGTGGGGGACATGCAGGCTGTCACTCCTGCCGGAAGCTGGGGGAGCCAATTTCAACCTGCCTTGTCCTCTAGTCATACTCTCTGCGGCGGTGCTGCTGAGCAGAGGTGAGACCCTGTCCCCTCCTTTCACACCCTCACCTCCTTGGGGCAAGTGGGGTGTCCCTGTCTGGGATGGTGTGCAATGCTGTGGGTTGGAGCAGGAGTGGGGGCATCCAGAGGATCCCATGAGCATCTTTTGCATCTCTGCCTGGTCAGAGCAGCCTGGGGACCAGTTCACTGTGAGAACCCTGGTTGAGTCCCGACAGGATGCCCTCAGCCTGGGGGAGGGCTATGGCTCCAGGACAGACCCAACTTTGTTTCGGGTTGCCAGGGCGAAGGTTTTTTCCAGTCGCCCATGAAGGCAGGGGAGTGCGGTGGCGTTGCTGGGGGACCGGGGATGCCACGCAGGGTGCTCGCCAGCTCCAGAGCAACCGTCCAGGCACGAGGAGCTGTGGCAGGGCTGGGGAGGGCAGCACAGTTTCACTTTTTCCCTCCTTGGTCACTTTCTAGGGGAGCAAATCCCAAAATCCTGCCCCAGATACATTTCTCCTAGCATGCTGACCCTGATCCTCCAGCAAAGGGATGAAATGCTCCAGGGAAGGAGTGCAGAGCCAGAAATTCACCCAGGAGCTTCTGCAAATCTTGTCCTGGGGGACAGAATCCACTCTTGCCAGCTGCAGGTGACCGAGAACATGAGGATTAGTAGACCTCGTCATGGTAATCCCAGCTGGAAGTAGAGCTGCTCTTCACTTTATTACTAGGCAAAGCTTTTGCTACAACTGAATCCATGCTAAATGCTTGTTTAAAATACAACGATACACTGTTCCCACGCTTGGTTTTAATGTTTGTCACAGGAATGATGTATTTAAATGAACTAAAATTGGAAAACTAAAACCCCCAGGCCCTAAAAGTACAGGTACAGCAACACTAAAAATTCCAGTCTACCAATCTCCAACTAAAACCACCCCCGGGTGGGGTTTTAAAAACCTGATACTTTGTAACCAGAACAAATTGCTGGTCTAGAATTAGCCATTCTGGCTGCTATTACAGTGGGAAAACAGGCAAGAGCGTCACTTGTTATCCTCCCTACTTTCTGTCCTCTCCTCTTAGCAAGCTTCCCTGCTGTGGAGAGCAAGCTGTGCAGGGCAGGGAAGGTCAGGCTAAATAACTGCATTATAAAGTCTGTCCAGTGGGAGTCAGGCAAGTGCCTCTCTTTCAGCAATAGATTTCGGATATCTCACAGCAGAGGCTGGCTGGCCACCTCCTGCCCTAAATACATCTGCCCCTAGTAGAATTTCCACCCTCCCCATTCTTCTTACTGGAGAGCAGTGAACGCAGCCTCCAGGCTCAGCAGAGTAACTCCTGAGCTGCTTGAAGCAGGGGATTGCTATTTTGTCTCCCTTCGGTTGTGTTTTCCTCCTCCTTGCTTCCCTAAAAGCAACCTGGTAAAATGAAGTGCAACATCCCTTTGCTCATGGCCTGAGGTTTCCAGGTCCAAAGCATGCCCTGAAGCTCACCAATGGGCTTTATCTTGGCAGCCTCCTGCAACTGCCAGGCCCCACTGTTGCACAGCCATCGTGGCAAGGCTCTGCTATAGTCTCAGTCAGCTGGTATCAGTAATTTTCATCATTTTAACTTGCCCTTCGGTTGTGCTCACCCACACCTGGGCCTCTCGTGTCCCTGGACCCAGTAGTGCCCCTTTGCAACTCACCACACACCAGAAAATAGGGTTCAAAGAGTCTCTGCTGTCTGTTACAACTTTTAACCACCCTTTTATCAGCCAAACCAAGCAGCTGAGCCCCACTTCTCCCAGGTATTTCCGGGGAAACCTCAGATCTTTGTCATTTCTTTTTATTCTAGAGAAAACAGACTGAGCTACCAGTGCACTGAGACTGCCTCTGTCAAACTGATGAAACCCACTCTTAGGGCAGTGGAAGAAGGAACAGTAGGTGCTGTGTGTCCAGAAACTGGTGGCACCAGGAATCAATTAACTGCTGGTGATTTTAGGCTCCGCTGGAACAGCGTGTAAAGGTTATAGTCATTCCTAGTCAAGCCTGTGAATTAGTGGCTGTTCTCCAGGCCCAAATTTCAGGCTGTATTCCTGGTTGGTGCAACAAGGTGCAAAGTTGACAAGAATCAAAGGAGTCAGATCAAAACAGTCAAGTGCAGCATTGGCTCACTGGTGGTCTCCACTGCCAGACCTCGCAACAGCATCCAACTACTCCTTGGAAACCACGCCTGTGTGTGGATGTGTCTGTTGGGTTTCCAGCACCCCAGCTGGCAGCTTCAGTTCAGTGTAGCTCTTCTGCTCCACGTGGTTTGTCTGTTCCAGGAGCCATTGTCTCTCCTGGTCACTGACATCCAGCCTCAGCGTCACCTCTTGGAAAATGCTGTTCACAGCAACCTGTATCATACAGAGGAAAAGCAGCTCAATCCCTGTCACAGGACAATCGCTGATCACATTCTCTGGGTAGAAGATGGGTTGTTACCACACCTCCTTAAAATGAAGCTTTTTGAACATGCAGATACTGGCTTCATTTTCCTGACCAATCTTAGCTTCAAATTTAGTGAGCCCCAGGTTTCTTACTCCTGCAAAAGGAAGAAAAACATTTCTATTATCTGCTCAGCTGCCACATCTATGAAAGCACAGTACCCCAGTTTCTGGGGCAGATGGATTCCTTACTATGCTGTCTGTATCACTGGGAATATGTGCTGCTAGATCACATCCCAACTGTACTCCCGCTCCCTTGCATGGAGCCACCCTTACCATAGGACATCATAATCAGAGTTGCCTCCTTGCCAAACCCTCTGCCTCGGTAGCTGGGCTCTGAAAGAGAGAACCACAGAAGTCAGCATCCAGTTACGAGAGACAAATCGGCCATGGCAGATACTTTTCAGAAGATACTGTGACCCAGACCAGCAAAGGGTGCCAATCGGGACTGAACAGCCATGGTAAAGCAAGGAGAATGAAAAGCTGCTGCACATAACATCTGTCTGCAGCTGGCTTTAGCCACAATGACAAAGGCCCAACCTAGAAAGCAGAACTTGACCTGCAATCATAATTTCAATCTCGCCCAGCGTTGGATCCTCAGCATCGGTGAGGAAGAGATTCACATCCCCCACCATGCAGTCCTCATCTGCACACGCCTGCCTGGACCACCGCTCTGTGTCCAGCACAATGAAGGTGCACTCTGGGGAAAACAAAAACACAGCAGCGTTTTCAGGGCATGCTGAGAATTATTCACCAATTATTGAAGGATGAAAGTAAAGGCATGCCGTGGACAGAGGAACAACATCTTCCTCATGTTAACAGTGAGGAAGAGCTAATAATTTGGCCTCCCACACCAAGTATGCCTGCTCCCATCCATAGAAATGTAAGAAATATTCTGAAAAAAACCATTGTGAGGGTGACGTACACACCAAGACTACAAGCAGTCTTTTTAAGGAGCAGGAAAACTTTCACCGCATGACTGAGGTCTCTGCTTTGTCTCACTCCAGCAAGTTTGGGCAAAGAATTGTTTGAGGCATAAGAGACTGAGATCCAGTGATTCACCTCTTCTGTATTATTGCTGCTTTCAGTAAGACTTTTAATGCCAGCTAAGACAAATGCTCCAGACTGAGGTCTTTGCCAGCCCCAGTACCCTGTGCAGCTCACTCTATCTCTACCAGGCTTTTATAGGCAGTGATTCATGACCTGTAGGAGAGCCAGGCAACCAATTCAGTCAACACACCTCAATCAAGTAATTATAAAGTCATTCAATTTCTCAAGAAAAAATACAATCTCCTTCCACCTTTTTAACATGATCAGACCTGGAGAGCATTGACTATGCAGCAGCAGCTCAGCATATAATGCTGTGGGAAGTAAATCACTGTGATCTTTGAAAAACTGCAGAGAAAGGACACCAACAGCCCTGGACATCCTCTATTTCCCTGAGCATATACCAGCTATAAACAGAAAGCCAGATTGAAGCTACTTTTGTAGAAGATCTCACATCCCCCGTGTTTCAGCAAGTAAAACTGCCCACTCACTGGGCACCCTCAGCCCACTGTGGGTCCTTCACAGGCCAGAAGGGACCTGCTCACCACTCCCACCCACCCTCAGAAAACATTCAAGATCCTCACTGTCAGCGTCATTCTGCCAGCTGTGCTGCATCTCATACTCCTGCTCCAGGCTGAGCGGTTAAGCGCTGCAGCTCCTCCGACTGCATCCACTCATGGTACCTGGTAATGGGACCCAGAACCAGATCACTGCCTGAGCTCCTGCATCACCATCTGATTTCCACAAGCACTCCACAGATCAGGTTGTCATAAACTGCTTCTGGAAACACAAGCCTGGCATTCATGGCAACTTAAAAAGTATCGGCAAGCTTCTCTCCCTTATCTAACACAGGAATCAGTGTTGTCCATGGAAATTTAGCTAGTTTGTTCATTTTGTAGCTTTACCTGAATAGTGTCCAATGCAAACATGATGTTTTTAAAAGTACTGAGCATTCAGTTCTGGCACATTTCATTCTCACTGAGATTGATACATCTCCCGGCCACTGACAAATTGACTGACTGTGGCATCTTTGTGCTGAGGCTGCAGCTGCCCAGGCCAGCACTTTACAAGCTGCCTGCACGCCTGCTTCCAGTTTATCAAACATCCATCTGGCTTTACACATTGGTTTTGCTCTCCTCCTGAACATCAAAGGAGAACTGTTGGTGGTTCACTCACAGCCAGGTTATTTCCCCTTCTGTGGGCCCACAGTGGCAGAGATGAAGTTCTTTTTGTTAGCAGACCTGGCAAAAAGCATAGACCTGCCAGGGGTGTCTGCTGCAGAGCATGGAGGGCAAAACTGACTGCCTTTCTATGAGTGCTCTTTCTGCGGTATGGTTTCCAGGGGGAAGAGGGCCCTGCAGCTGCCAAGACAGCGCTCTTTCTGAATACCACACTTCCTTAAAATAGAGAAGTAAAATCAGTGTAGAGCATCAGAGGAGGACACGGACCACATACCGGGGCACATGTGCAGAAGTGTATGGCACCAGCGTCACCCTCTTTCCTTGCAGCACAGTGTTCTGGTTGATCTTCATGGCCCCTGCACTGAGAGAGACCCAACACCCAACTCCGTGCCTTCAGCGAGGCCAAGGGCTGGGACAGCTCCTCCCGGAGCTCTTCGGGAGCCAGG